AGGCATGCTTGGACACAGTCTAGCCCGGGGTGGGCCGGGGAGGGCACCAGGGGCTGCAGAAGGCAGGTGGTCACTCCAGTGACCTCCCTTGGGAGCTATTGAAGGCTGTGTGTGTTTTATCTCTCCAAGCAGGACCGTTTAAACAGCAAGAAGCACAAGGCAAAGGACGACAAGAAACTTGTGAAATCTTTCAGTCGGGACAGGTTTTCCTTGGAAGACCCTATCCCTGAAAGCACCACCCCTTTTCAGGAACCCATGGATCCCCTGGTCATGGAGAAATACACTCAGAGGCTGTACACACAGGTGAGGGCAGAGCCTGGGCACTCGGCCCTCCTCTCACCCCTACTTGCCCTGCACTCCCTCATTCATCCCATTTGTTCCACAAAGGATCAGCTCCTACTGCATTCATGATAGAAACAGAGCGGCCCTCGTGAAGGGCATCCCAGTGTGTGAGACAGACTTCATGAATAAGTAACACGTCGGGTATATTAGGCGATGAGCACTAAGGAAAAGAGAGACCAGAGCCACGGGGTCGGGGAAGGCCCAGGTAAGGCAGGTGGGCCTCATCGAGAAGGTGACGTCAGAGACTTGAAGGGAGGTGAGGGGTGGCCTTGTGGACCCCTGAGGAAGAGTGCCCTAGGGCGAGGGAGCAACTAAGGCAGGAGAGGGAGTAGCCAGAACAGAGGGCAGAGAGACTACCGAGAGGGAATAGGCCATGTGTGGGGCTTCGTAGGCAATGTGAGGACTTGGGGTTTTTCTGAGTGAAACAAGAAGTCATAATCCCTGGTTTTGAATACAGGGGTGACATGGTCTTGACTTGTGCTTTAGAAAATCACTCTGGCTGCCATTTGGAAAATAGACTAGGGGAACAGAGCTGAAGCCCTTCCCTTTCTGCTGCTCCTGCTTCCACTCTGTGTTGGATGCATCTTGGCATCTAACACCATCTAACACCATGTGGAGTGGATTTCCAGCAAGTATAAGGATTTTGAAACACTGGAAAGACTTCACAATGATGAATTCCTAAGCAGTAGGTCCTTAGAAACTCACCCAGGTGTTGTGTTATTGTTGCTATTTGTTTTGGAGAGGAGGTCTAATGGCGAGGCCAGTCTAGTGGTGAGGCTTTGTCTTCCTCTGGCGTGGACAGCTGGGCAGCTGGGATTACATCATGCATTGTGGTAACACTCTGGATCTCATTCGATTAGAAGCTTCATTTACTGCTGGTAACATCACTGAGATTTCTGAGGGTCAGTGGGGTCCCGAAAGTAATTATAGGGCTCTGAGGACTCATGCAGTGGACTCTTCTTTGGCTTCCTGAAGTTAAGAATCAACTTGCCAAGGTTTGTGTGGTCCAGCCCCACTGAAGGCACAGTCTTGGAGATATTTCAGTATGTGGATCTGTAATCTTACAGGAAGGAAAGTTGGCCTCCATGAGGCCAGAGTAGATTTGGGCCACCCCAAGGGGCTAAGTGGGCACTGCTCTCTGGCCTCCCTGGAATTGCCCCTTTAACCATGGTGGCCTCTAAGGTCCCCATATGTCCTAGGGGCCAGTGCAGGATTACCTCCTCAGACTGGTTTGAAAAATAAAACTATTTGCAAAAACAAAAGTTCTACAGAAACTCTCACCGCTTTGGATTTATCCCCTTTCCAGCTGTTCTCTGTGGTGTAGATATGTCCACCCTTGTAGCACAATGGGTGCTCCCTTGTGTAGGTACTTGCACAGAGCAAACCTTTGCCGGTGATGTTCATCCCATTCTTCCAGGTGTACGAGCTGCTGGACACCCTGGTGACTGACCTGATGGCCTTGGCTGACGAGCTCAGCCCCATAAAGAATGTTGAGGAGTCTTTCCGTCTTTGCACATAACTCGTGTGTCCAAGCAGCCTTCTGGGTAACTGGTTAACAAACAAATAAAGAACCTTCAGGTTCCTACCATTTCCATTATGACTTGTGTCTTGAATACCAGCTTTTGATGAGGTCAGCTCATAACCCAGGTCCCCCCATGTCCCACCTGCCCTCAGATCCTCCCCACCCACCACCCTGTCCCAGTTCCTGGAGTCATCTGGCAGGAGAGAGAAACACACTTGGGGAAGTGATGTATGGGATAATGAACTGAAGAGCAACTGGTACCAGGACGAGGAATGAATCAGGTGACAGAACCAACAGCATCACCCTTCACAGTTCCTGCCTTTGGCCTTCTTTGGCCCACACTTTCGGGGCCCTGCTTCCTGGAGCCAGGTCTTTTCCAAGTGTCATCACCAAGTATGACAAAGTATGAGACAAGGATAACTAGACCCTATGGGACCTGGCTCCCTGAGATCTTCTCACTTCAGTTGGGGTCCAAGGGCCCTGTCCGTGTCTGAGAATCATGCTCATGACACTCTTAACCTCTAGAGGATGGATCCCTTTGTCCTCAGCCAGAGGTTATTAGTTTGGATTCCAGTCTGTCATCCCCCTCCTCACATCAAACCATCTGACTTCCTTGGGCCATTTTTATGCCTTATAAAACCAGTCTCTGGACTTTATGCCCCTTCCCTCGCTCAGAGAAATATGAAGTGGGTAAGAGATAGCTTTTGGAAAGAAAGGTGCTGTCAGCTCAAACTCAGTACCATAATTGTTCTCTGTCAGCAATTGTCATTCTGGGCCAGACTTCCTGTGTGGAGTGAGCTCCAGGCTCCCAGAGTTTGAAGAACTTTGCTAATGGTGGGCTTATTGCCTTAAGTACTGATGGAGCAGAAGTGTAGGTGGGAGACTAGGGGAGTGGCCACAGTCTTCTACCCATCTGTTTTTGCATTTGGTGCCTCTGATAAGGACCTCATGGGCCTTAAGCATCCTTCAGTTGAGATGGGAGGAGGTTTGGAAAGAGCAGAGCACTTTGTGTTGGAGAAGCAGAGAGGGGGCTGAGCCTACGGTCCTGATGCCCCTGTCAGGGTGGCCAGCTGGGAGCCCACAGAAGGCAGTGACTCCACCAAACCGCCAGCCCCAAGGAATGGTCCTCCTGGGGGAAGGGGAGGGGTGGGGTGGGTGTTAGAGCCCTGTGGCCCTGTTTCCTGTTGAAGAGGCAGAGGAAGGGTTAACTCACTGCAGGGTGGGAGCGGGCTACCCAAACAGGCTCTGGCTTGGCTCTGGATGTGCACCTCCTGGGGACAGCCTGTAGGCAAGCCTCCCACCTCTGAAGGTGCGGCCTGCCTGGCCAGCAGGAAGGGGTTAACACGCCCTGCGCTTCCTCCTGTGTCCTGTTACTGCTGAGGCAGACCTGCCCGGCCAGCTGAGCAACTTTCCTCCCGAGTGCTGCCTGCTGGCTGGGCATCCAGGAGACCCGTGGACAAGAGGCAGAGCTACAGCCTGTTCGGGGACCCTGCCGCCGCCCTTTGGAGGGGACTACACCTCCTGGGAGAGGGTTTGTGGTGGATGGCTCTGGGGGCACTCCCGCAGCTGTGCCGTCCCAGTTCTGCACAGGTCGGAGGGCCACTGCAGAGGTTGTTCCTGGTCCTGGGTCTGGGGCCAAGGGAGCCTGCACCGGAGGTAAGCTGGCCCCTCCCTGGTGGTGGTGGCGCTCAGCATGAAAGGCTTGGGGCTTAATCTCCCTTCCAGGTTCCAGGGAGAGGGGAGAGGAGGGCAGGGAGGTAGAGTGGGCTTATTGCCTCAAGTGCCCCTCTTGCCTGCAGCCCCTCCCTGCTGCCCCCTGGAAGGAAGACTGGGGGCTTGCTTCCTAACCTGGGACCAGCATCTTTAGTGGCATTCCCCACAGACTCCTGCCCATCTCTACAGACCCCTTCTTCTCAGCCCCTGATTCACCCCTAGCCTCAGGGCAGCCCCCCACCCACTCTAGTGCCCTCATCGGATATCTACCTTAGGGATGACATAAGCTTAGAGCCAGAGTGCACTCCCCTGTCCCTTCAACAGCAAGAGTTAGGGCGCTGCCACACCCCACTGTTCCTGCTGGACCTGATGGGGGTGGGGGGCAGGTGCCGGAGCCCACCTTAGCAGAGGATGGGAGGGACACGCACAGACTTTTGACTTGACACATCCGGTTTCTTTCTATCTCCCTGAACCCCCACTCTGAGGACACCATCTGCTTCCTTAGTCCTGACAGTTCCCCCAGTCCTCTGGGCCCTGAGGAAAACAGCCCCCTCCCCTCTGTAAAGTTCTCCTTAGGAGAGTGCTGATACCCAGCCAGTCCCAGCCCCGGCTGGCTCTTCTCTCATCCCCTCTAGCAGATTCCTCCCTCCGGCACCCATGCCCTCCTGCCTCTCCGGTTTTCTCCCCCATCTCTGAATTGGCCTCTCAGGCCCTGCCTTCTCAGTGTCCTTCCCTCCACCTGACAGGGTCTGGCTCAAGGTCACTGCAGTAATTCCATACTCAACTGCCTGGGCTGCCGCTGCCACTGCCGCTGCCGCCTTATCAGGCTGCTGGGTTTCTGTTTCAGTCCCTTTTATTCCTGGGCATATTGTGTTCAGTAAAAACCTTTGCTTGTAACACCACTGGCAGCACTCCCAGGCGCTCCCTCCTGCGTTCCTTCCTTTCTACCTCCCTCCCCTCCATGCTCCCTGGGCCTCGCCCTGCCCCCTCTTCCTCTCTTTCTTGTCCTCTCAGACTTTAGGTGTTTCTGATCCCTCCCTTTCCCCAGCTATGGTAGAACTGTGCAGAGAAGGCTTCTCCATGCCCACCTTCCAGGAGAAAAGTCCAGGCAGGGCCACAGGGCCCACACTGAGGGCCCCTCCCACTACCCCAGATTGGCTAGAGGGCCAGGTAGAGCTCCTACTGGAGTCACGATGCCTGACTGGTTCTGCTGGTTTCAGTGGCCAGCACTGGGAGGGATGTGCACTCTGGGAAGGCTTTGGGGCACAATTATTTCTCATCTTGACTCTTGTCACCCTCCAGCCCACTGGTTAGAGACGTAAAGATAGATCTGAGTCACTAGTGAGGGGGAGGGCAGGAGTTAAACAAGTATTGATTGTGGCATCCCCACAGAACGCCTGCAACTGGCTGGACAGAAAGACAGCAGACAGCAGGTAGGCAGCACTTTCGGCCAGCACTGTCCATTTCTCCGGGTCTCCCATGGGACCCCCACAGGAGCCGAGTCTGGGCAAAGCTCTCGCAGGCACCTGAGCTCTGAAAAAAAGCTGCGGAGGCCTGCGGGCCAGCCACTTTGAACTGAGCCCTGTGTTGGTGTTGGCAGAACTGGGTGGAGGGAGAGTCGAATTTGGGGAAAGAGGGGCAGGACAAACTCCTGACTCCTGCTGAGTCTCAGGGTAGAGGTGAGTGGGGCAGTCACTGGGTACTGGTGCTGGTGGGGGAAGCGGAGGCTCTGCAGGTCCAGCCAGCGTGTGTGTGCGTGTGTGTGTGTGTGTGCGCGTGCGCGTGTGTATGTGTGTGTGTGTGCCCCTACCGAAGGAATGGTGATGGCAGGGGAACTGCAATTTGGGTTTCTGGAAGGGCCCTGGGAGAACACTTCTCTGTCTTTGGCCTGGGTTTGCTTTCAGCAGATGGCCTGGTCCTGCAGCTGTGGGGAGGGCATCGGGCTGGTCCTAATCACCCCGCAGGTGAGGTGTCAGAGGCCTGCCACGTGTTCTGGGCTTTGGGGGCTTGGGGAGACTGGCCTTGCCTGTAGGGAGCTTACATTCTGGCTGAGAAGGGGCTGAGGCAGTGAAGCAATCAGATGAATTAATTATGAAACCGTTGACACTGAAAATAAGTATTGAATTAGTTGTCTGTAGACCTAGGTGTTAGTCCTGATTCTGCCACCTACACAGTGAGTGAGCAGGCCACATCCCCTCTCCGGCCTCAGTGCTCTTGTTTGTATAACTGGTGGTAGTGGCTAGATCTGTCTGAGAGGCAGCCTCCCCCAGTGCTCCTTCCCCTCTCACCTGGCCCAGCTCACAACATTTCTTCTAAGCTGCCCTTCCTAGACTTGCTGGCTCATTCCTCCTCTCCCTTTCCTTTGATCTCTGATCTCACTTCAGCTGTCACCTCCTCTGGAAACTCTCCCCTGATTTTCCTCTGTACCCCCATGCTGGGCTGTGATTGTCTGTACCCTTTCAACTGGGCTTGGATGGACCAGGACTTGTGCCCTGTGCCTGCCATAGTGCCTGGCTCAGAGGAAGCCCCAGGAAATAGGCATCGAATGAATCAAGTTACAAAATTAACAATATGAGAAGAGAAGAAAGCGAGGCCTGAGAAAGTTAGGAAGGATAGGTTTTAAGCTAGATCCCGGCAGAAAGAGGAGAGGTAGCCAAGCAGAAGCTAGTCAAGTAGGCCTTCCTGGAGGTCATCGTGGTGTCCCTTACTAAGGGCAAGGACTGTAGGGTGTGAGGGCCGAGTTAATCCTGGCTCCTTACTTACCGGCTCTGTGATCTTGGACAAGCCATTTAACCCTTCCCTAAACCTTACTTTCCTCTCTGCGAATGGAGATAATAATAATAATAGCGTCTTTATAGTGCGATGATGATGATAAATGAGCATGCAAAGCTAGAAGTGCCCACTGAATGATAAGTAAAATAAGAAAAATAAAAAAATGCCTGCTGAAGGCTATTCCTAGCAGAGGGGATGCCCTGGTCAGGCCTTAAGTTGGTCACTGAGAGGCCACTGAGGTGGGCCATTTCCCCTGAGTTCCAGACCGTCTCTTCCTTAGACCCATGTAGAACCCAAGGACGCAGCCGCCCTGCTGAAAGCACGGCGGCCCATCATCGGAAATCGTGACCTCGAGACGGTGGCCCTCAGCCCTCCACCTCCGGCTGGGGCGGGAGGCGCCCATCTCCAAGTCCCCAGCCATGACGACCTCAGCGCTGCGGCGCCAGGTGAAAAACATCGTACACAACTACTCCGAGGCGGAGATCAAGGTGCGAGAGGCAACCAGCAATGACCCCTGGGGCCCGCCCAGCTCGCTCATGTCGGAAATTGCCGACCTGACCTTCAACACGGTGGCCTTTGCTGAGGTCATGGGCATGCTGTGGCGGCGGCTTAATGACAGCGGCAAGAACTGGAGGCATGTGTACAAGGCGCTAACGCTGCTGGACTACCTGCTCAAGACAGGCTCGGAGCGAGTGGCCCACCAGTGCCGCGAGAACGTCTTCACCATCCAGACACTCAAGGACTTCCAGTACATCGACCGCGATGGCAAAGACCAGGGAGTCAACGTGCGTGAGAAGGTCAGGCAAGTGATGGCTCTGCTCACGGATGAGGAGCGCCTGCGGCAGGAGCGGACCAACGCCCTGAAGACCAAGGAGCGTATGGCACTGGAAGGCATGGCCATAGGCAGCGGACAGCTGGGCTTCAGCCGCCGCCATGGCGAGGACTACAGCCGCTCCAAGGGTTCCCCATCCTCCTACAACTGTGAGTGAGTCTAGAGGTGTGGCTGGGGGCGGGGATGCAGCCTGAGTTCCAATCCTGGCTCTACAACCTCAGAGGAATGTCATGAGGATTCAGTGAGATAAGGAATGTGAAGTTTGAGGCGCTATGCCCTGCACATAGTAGGAGCTCAACCAGTTAGCATAAACAATAATATCATTATACGTTCGTTATTATTACTGTTAATTCTCTGTCAGGTAGGACGGTGCGGTGGTGGAGGCATAGGAGTCCAGCAGCATTGCTCACTCTGCCCCTCCCAGGCTGTGTGATCTGGACAACCACCTCTCTGACCTCAGTTTCCTCTTCTATAAAGTAGGGATGATCATATCTACTTTGATTGTTTGATGTGAGGATTCAAGAGACCAGGCCCAGGAATGACATCAGCCCTGCACCTAGACACATGGCACATGGTGCATTTCCCATAATTCCCGAATTTGAGGGACCTGTTCTAGAACATAGGGACAGCTGATGAGCAGTTCTTGACTCTCCTCCCCACCCCGATGGGGGCTTCCCTGATGTGAGGGAATGACCCTCCATTCATAAAGCACTTGACAGTGCTGTGGGCTGTGAGAGCTGGGACCTTGATTATTTGAGCCTCTCGCCCTCTTACCCTACTGGATCCCAGGCTGGAGGGGGCCCAGCTAGAAGAGTCAGGGGCTGGAGTCAGGTGACCTGGGTTCAAGTCTTGATGCAGGACCCTGGCCAGGAACCCCTCAGAGCTGTTCGTGGGTCTGTAAAGGAGGGATTAGAATCCTTATCATGGTGGAATGGGAAACCTTATAGACAGTGCTAAGCACATGGCCTGGCCCCTGGGGCCCTCGGCTGCCTGTTGTTCTCTTCCCTTCAGTTTTCCTCTCTGAGCCTTGGCCTCCTGGAGGAGATGGGGGTGTGGGAGCCTGTGGGCACCTGTGTGGTTACAGAAGCCATGATGGTCATTGCAGCTTCCTCCTCATCCCCTCGTTACACCTCAGACCTGGAGCAGGCCCGGCCCCAGACGTCAGGAGAAGAGGAGCTGCAGCTGCAGCTGGCCCTGGCCATGAGCCGAGAGGAGGCTGAGAAGGTGAGGCCCCTTCCTGGGGCAACCCAGGAGGTCCCACAGCTGGGCTGGGGGTGGCATGGAGAGGAGACTGAAGGAGGAAGGAGAAGTGACTAGATATGCCACACCCTGACTCTTAGGCTCCCCTCTGGGCCCCAAAGCCCTAGTCCTGCTCCCAAGGACAACACGGGGCCTGTCTGTGTGCCTGGGATTGTCCCATAGGGACTACCTCCCTGCCTTCAGTCCTCTCTGGTTAGGCCTGGAAAGGACAGTGTGTGTGTAGTGCGGTTGGAGGTAGCTGAGTGTCATATGGGCCTGCTGTTGCCTCATGGAGGGGAAAGGAATGAGTGTGCTGACAAACACATTCCTAGGAGACAGAGACATGCTGCTACCACCCCTACTCCCACAACCCCCATCGGCTATCCTTTTGGGGGGTGGGGACAGCCCCTATGTTAATATTCTTTCTGCTATCACTTCTGTGGATTCAGGTAGACTGGGCAGGATGCAGCTGGGCCTCACATAGCAGGACTTGGGGAGACTCAGGGAACCCAGAAGAAAAGGATCTATCTTCTTGATTAAACGGCATCTCAGATCTGGACAGGGAGAAGGCCGCACCTATATGGCTGTCTGGGGTGGGCATTTCTCTCTCCATGCCCCTTTCTCCTATTCAGGAGTGGGAATGCTGGGCCAAGTTCACTTCTCTCTTCCTCCCTCACAGCCAGTCCCCCCAGCCTCCCACAGGGATGAGGACCTGCAGCTGCAGCTGGCTCTGCGTCTGAGCCAGCAGGAGCATGAGAAGGTAGTGGGCCAAGCCTCTGTGCTGGTGATGGTGAAGGTGCTAAATTGGCACTAACCAGGCTCCTCCCGCTTTATTTGGTGGTCCTGCTGTGCCTAACCTCTCTCGCCAGGCAGCCTCCCGCCCTGCACTCCCCTCGACTCAGCTCAGGTCCCCTCGAGTTCAACCTGGGCTGCCCATGCTCTCCTCACTCCTTCTGTGCCTTCTGCAGGAGGTGAGGTCCTGGCGGGGAGATGACTCTCCCATGTCCAATGGCGCTGGGGCTACAGTCTGCCCTCGGCGGGACAGAGAACTTGAGAGAGAAGAGAAAGAGAAGGAGAAGCTGAAAACCAGCCAGGTAGGGAAGGGACTGGGGTGCGTGGGCTGGCAGAGCCTGGGACGTGAACTGAGTTTATATTTGTAAAGTGCAGAACAGTGCTTGGTATACAGTAGGCACTACTTAAATGTTTATTCAAATGAAAATGGAATGGGGGAGTACAACAGCCCTGGTCCCATACTGCATAGGCTGGTGACTGAGCTGATGGCAAAGTAGGATGCAAAGAATCCTTATCCGAGACCCCTGGAGTTGGGTTCTGGATTTGCCGCCACTTTATGAGTCAGGGCATATCATTATCTTGGCCTCAGTTTCCTCCTCTGTACAGTAGTCTTATTAAACATTTCTAGCTCTGACATGCTAGGATTATGTGATGCTGTAGACCAAGACTGGAGGACGACTCAGGCATATGGTGCTGAAAACATCCTGGGCTCATATGCATGCTTTCCAAGAGAGGGAAGCAGGTAGCTTCTGAGAGCAAGGCCCCCCTCCGAAGTTATCTATACTACCCCTGCGGTGTCTCTGTCCCCTTCCTGCCCATGTTCACTATGGCCAGTTTCATTTAGACGCTGACTAACAGAGGTAGGCTCATCATAAAACCTGCCTTGCCACTGATGGGCTGAGGAGCTGGACAGCTGAGGAAGGCCTGGGTTCTAACCCAGCTCTGCCTCTCCCTAGCTGACTTTAGGCAAATTATTACCTCTCTCTAGGCCTTAGCTAGCACATCTGTCAAATGGGCACATCACCACTTTCTGTATCTCCTACACAGGGTCGTTAGGAAAATCAGGCACTAAGTGGATGAGGAAATATAAACTGGAAAGCACTGTGCAGAGACGAGGGATAATTACTAGATGTTTATGGAATGCATGAAGGAGAGAATGAGCTAGTCAGGATGACAGGTCAGGGCCCACCCTTCCTCCATGCCCCGCCCTCCTCTGAGCCATGGCTGCCTCTCCCCTTCACAGTCCTCCATCCTGGACTTGGCGGACATCTTCGCACCCACCCCGGCCCTGCCCTCCACGCACTGCTCCGCTGACCCATGGGACATCCCAGGTGGGCATGCAGGGCTGCAAGATTCTCCCAGGCTGGCCTCAGAGAGCCCCTTCCTGGCACCCAATGACTGAAGGTCATTGGGCAAGTCACTCATGTTTCTGGGCCTCAGCTTCCTCTGTGACATGGTGTCATAGTCAGGAAGAGGGAACACCTCTGGAGAGCCCAGCTCGTGGGAAATGATCTGAGAAATATGTTCTTATTGCCCCTGGTCACCCTGGCTTTCCTGCCCCAGCCCATCCCTGACTGGGAGGGCGACTTGAGCTGCCCATGCTGGATACGGGCTCCAGCTTGTGAGTGGTTCTGAGTCAGTATCCTGACTGTGAAATGGGTCCCTTGGCCTCCCAACTTGGTCTGGGTAACTGGGAAGGCCCTGAACTGGGGATAAGCGTGAGCCCGAGGTCATGTCTGTGCTTTTCCCATTTTAGGTCTCAGGCCCAACACAGAGGCCAGTGGCTCCTCCTGGGGGCCATCAGCAGACCCCTGGTCTCCAGTCCCCTCAGGAAGTACCCTATCCCGAAGCCAACCGTGGGACCTGCCCCCTATGCTCTCCTCCTCTGAGCCCTGGGGCCGGACCCCAGTGCTGCCTGCTGGACTCCCCAGTACAGACCCCTGGGCACAGAACTCCCCCCACTACAAACTCTCCAACACTGAGGCCAACCCTTGGGGGGCCTTGGTGGAAACCTCCAACACACCTGGTAAGTGAAGGGCCACAGGCTGTGGTTGAGGGTCTGTTGGACTTCTGGGTCTCCCACCTCCAGGGCCAAGGGACAGCAGATCCTGTCTGTTAGGAGACCTGCCTGCCTGTTTTGCCAACCCATCTCATCCCCATTTTCCTCCTTGGCTAGCTCTAGGCGGTACCTCGACCTTTGACCCATTTGCCAAACCTCCAGAATCCGCAGAGGCTAAGGAGGGGCTGGAGGGTGCCCAGGCCCTGCCCTCTGGAAAGCCCAGCAGTCCTGTGGGTAAGCAGGAGGCAGGGGATGATGCAGCTCTGCAGAATGAGGGGCCCACCCAGAGCGGGCCTCTGCCCTTTTCCTCCCAGTGACCAATCCTTCTGCCTAACCTTGTGCTCTATCATTTCTATTCCAGAGCTGGACCTGTTTGGAGACCCTACTTCCAGTTCCAAGCAAAATGGCACCAAGGAGCCAGATGCCTTTGACCTAGGTGTAGTAGGGGAAGCGCTAACCCAGCCTAGCAAGGAGGCACGACCTCGCACTCCTGAGTCCTTCCTGGACCCCTCGGCCTCCCCCTTAGTCAACCTTGACTCCTTAGTCAAGGTGCCCCAGGCTGCGAAGACCCGGAACCCCTTCCTGACAGGTAGGACATCCCCGCGTCCCCTGTCAGGTCTCAACACTGGGGATCCCCTGCTCTCTCTGCGTCTCTCCTTTCAGAGCCCAGCCCCTAACCTAGAATCTTAATCTTCTTCCCTATTTCTAAGACCCCAGATTGTCTTCTTATTTTAGTGCTCTGTCCCCTGCCGGTTCCAAACAACCCACCCACTCTCGTTCTGCAGATATCAGCGCTCCATCTCCCGCCAACCCGTTTGGCTTGGGAGAGCAGGGGAGGTCGACCCTGAACCAGATGCGCACCGGGTCGCCAGCGATGGGCCTGACGGTCGGCGGGCCAGTTGGGGTGCCACTGAGCTCCATGACCTACAGTGCCTCCCTGCCCCTCCCACTCAGCAGCGTGCCAGCCAGCGTGACCCTCCCCGCCTCGGTCAGCGTCTTCCCGCGGGCTGGCGCTTTCACGCCACCTCCCGCGAGCCTGCCGCCGCCGCTGCTGCCCACGTCAGGCTCGGCCGGGGTGCTCCACCCCTCCCCACAGCCCGGAACCAACCCTTTCCTCTGAGCCCTGTCAGGCCCGGCCACCCGGCGCGTGCGCGCTAGGCCCGACCTCCGGAGCGGAACGCGCTAGGTCCCGCCCATAGGGCCCGCCTCAGCGCGGGGCGGGGCTTCCACCAGGGCCCGCCCCCGGAATCCCAGAACCGCTGAGACTCCGCCCTGAGGCCCGCACGGATCCTGGTCTTGGTCTCCGCCGACCCTGTGGAGTTCTTGGAGCTGGAAACTGACGACTTTCCTGGGAGCCGAGAGCACGCCCCCGTAATAAAGACTGGAACCCACGGCCTCGGCTCTCATCAAGTGGACTTTTGTGGGACGCGGTGGCAGGGCCTGGACCACAACGTGAGACACCGGCTGCCGTGGAAACAACTGCTACATAATGTGGAGCACAAAAATGCTCCCACTGCTCCCACACAGCCCGATCAGCCTGGCACCTTCGCTTCCAGATACTCCCCATGCTTTCACTCGTTCGATCATTTCATTCATTTATCACACATAGGTGCTGGGGATGATCTAGTAGCTAGGAACAATAAGCAGTTGTTCTCATTTATTGCACACTCGTTATGTGCTAAGCACTTTAGACAGATTTCACTTAATCCTTGCAACAACCCTCTGAGGTACTGGCTACATAATTTGTGGGGGCCCTGAAAATGCAGGGCCCCTTGTTCAAAACTGGGTTAAGAATTTCAATATGGGGACAGCAGAGCATTAAACCAAGTGCAAAGCCCTTGGCCCTGCTCCCATTTTATAGTGAGGAAACAGTCTCAGAGAGGTGAAATGTCATGCTCCAAGTCACAAAGCTAGCTGAGAAGTTGGGGTGGGATTCAGAGTCAGATAGCTTTGAGCTCATATGTAGGCTGTGCAGCAGGTTTAATTTGCAAATATTGACTGACTGCTGTGAACAAAGTGCTATACTCACCTGGAAGGGAACCAAGAATTTGCTAAGCCCACAGCCTCCAGCAGCTCAGAACCCAGTAGGCAGGCAAGCCAGGTACAGGAGCCCACAAGCTCCTTTGTGGTACTGAGTCATCTTAAATCTGGCTCTACCCTCCTCTCCTTCCACAGGGCTGGCAATAAACTCAACCTGTCATGCAGAGGGGATTAACGTGGGGTCTAGGAAACTAAGGAGAGAAGCAGGGCTTGGTACCTCTTCCTGGGGGCCACCATGGAAACCTTCCCTCCTTTTCTACTGAGAGCTCTCTAACCACTAGACACTGATATGTCCTCAGTGTCAAGCAGCCTGCAGGCAGCCTGCTGCCAACTCTACCCACTTTTGGGGAGCTGGTAGGAATGGCTTTCCATAGGCCAGAAACACCAAAGTTGGGGACTCTCCTTCCTAAGGCAGGGGTGGAGAAAGGAGCTGCTTTGTTGTTTTGGAAGGAGGGAGGGAGTCCTATCTTGGCTGTTACATGCAGGATGGACAAGAGCACCTACTTAGGAGTCAGAATGGCAAAGTTCAAAACTCTGCTCCAAGGTTTGCATTTAATAGTAATGATGATGATGATGATGATGATGATAATAATAATCACTTAGTAATAAGTGGTTATGCTCCCTGACCTTGAGTAAATTACTTAACCTCTTTATGACTCTGCCTCTGTTTCCTTGTCAAATGGGAAGAGTTCCTTCCTTATGAGGTTGCTCTGTGGCTCCTCCCAGGCCACTGTCCATTTGGCCTGTGACCACCTTCTTCAGAGACTAACCATGAGGAATGAACCTACCATATCCTCTCATTCCTGGTTTGCCAGACACTGCCCAGAGTCCAGCCCTCATCTGTCTTCTGCCACACAAACATGGGAGGTCTCCATCCTTGGTCACTGACCCATCCTTCGCCCCTCCCGACTTGGGCCCTCCTCTTCTTATAAAATGGCTCTCTGTCCAGACATGGCTTCTTTGACCCTCTCTCCCAAGAGGTTTTGTTTTGATTTCCACAAAGAAGTGGTTGGTAGCCTTGCTCTCCATAGCCTCTACCAGACCATTTTCGTCCTTTAAGACCCCTCCTCCTCGGAGGCTGGAGCCACTAGGCTGTTCTATCTCTTCCCTGCCTGGGGCTTTGTTCCACTTCATTCTTGCCATGCTTCAGTCTTGGCTCAGAGTCTCTTTTGACCCAGATCTTGCTCAATCCAACGTGACTCCATTGTTCAAGAGGATGATCTTACTGCCCCTTGATCTCTCAGCTATCCTTGCTCATGGTCACACTTTGGGGGCTGCCATCACCCCAAATTCCTCCACATTCAAGGCAGATTTCCCGTTCTCTAATTTTATTCTCATTCCTTTCGGGGAACACCCACCAGACTAATCCTTTTGCCATCTCACCACCCTACCTTCTCAGAGATCTCCTGTCTCTTCCACATCATCAATTGCCTTCGCTCAACCAGATCCTTCCCCTAACTATTTGTCATAATTAGCCTCAGCCGTCTTGAAAGTGTCCTTCTCCTTACATCAAGTGCCCATCTTATCTCTCTCTATCCCCTTTCCTTCCCCTCCCCCCTCAACCCACTCCACCAGCCTCTGCTGACAACCTCACTTCAATGGAACACTGTCCACCAAGACCACTAATGACCTCCATGTTGCTGAAACCAGTGGACCTTTTTCTGTCCCATACCAGTCTGGCTATGGGAACCCGCCCTTGCTACAACTCTCTGTTCCTTTGCCTCTAGGACACCACCCTCTCCTGGTTTTCCCTTGATGCTCTGGCCATTTCCTCTCTGTGTCCTTCGCAGGTGCACTCCTGTGTTCTCCGAGCCCAGGCCTGAGCCTGCGTCTCTCCTCTCCCTGCAGTCTCTCTGGATGATCTCTCCCACGTTCTCACTGTGTCCACACTGGACACCCCCAGTTCCCCTCTCCCACCAACCTCTGCATTCTAGAGCCTTGTAACCTTCACATGTATGTCTCAAGGGCGCCTCAAACCAACATATTCAAAAATGACCTCATGAACCTCCACCCGAGCCTCTTCCTGTGCCCCCTCCTCAGAAAATGGCCCCACCATGCAGCACAAATCCCACTCTGCAAATCACTCTTGCCATCTTCTTCCTCACCACCAGTCCTGGTAATGCTTCCTCCTCTATGGACCTCAAGCCCATCCCAATCTCTCTATGTCCACCTCTACCTGGTGCAGACCTCCACCAACTCTCCCAGTCTACTCTGGCCTCCTGACCACTCCTGTTACCCCTTTTCCAGCCCATTCTCCACCGGGAACCTAAAGGGATTTTTCCAAAATGCAAGGTCACTCCTCTGACTATAAAACCCTCCTACAGCTTTCTTCTGATCTCATTAATAACCAAAACTTCTCACAGTTCATGAGTCCCTCCAAGACCTGGCCTCTGCCCTCCCCACCAAACTCAACCTCATCTACTGACACTCTTCCCTTTGCTCTGTCCTGCAGCCAGGCTGGCCTTCTGCAGTTCCTCAGCCTTGATTTACTGCTATGTTACAGGGCATTTGCACATCTGTTCCTCCTGCTTCCCCAGCACTCCCTTGTGATGCCCTCTACAGATTCTATCCTCTAGATGGATGCTACACAGATGTGATTTCCAAAGGGAAGCCTTCCCCCTTTGCCATTCCCACAAGACCAGGTTCCTTGTTATACTTAGTCATGGCTTTTCTCACAGTGGGTGGTTGTACATTCATTTGTATTGCTGTCGGATTAGTTTCTACCTCCTTCATCAGACTCTGAGCAACATAAGGGCAGGAGCCTAGTCCCTCTGCCCACCACCATATCTAGGAGAGTGTCAGGCAGGCAGTGGGCGCTCAATAAATATCGGCAGCATGTAACAAATGAAACAAGTATGTAAAGTATATGATAGGACATAAAGTTGGCTTCATCATTATTAGTCAGGGAAGACTTTCTGGAGTGGGTGGGATTTGAGCAGAACCTTGAGATGGGAAGGCAGCACATAGGCAAAGCTCACTGGCTGGATGGGCCTAGATAAGCCATACCTACTGTTCCAGTCTCATTTCTCATTTGTAAAATGGGCAAGGGTTGGACAAAATAAGCCGAGGCTCTGGCATTCCATGGCCCTGGAATCTTCACAGACCTCCATGTTCTCCTCATGACGGTTATTCTCCCTCAGGCAGTTGGTTTAGGTCCAGCTGAGTCCTTCCAATTTTGCTCAGAGACCCGGGTCCTCCCAAGCTCGGGTCATCCGGCCTGCAATCCCGCTCTTGGCCACAGGGTGACGCTCGGAGACCAGCCACCGGCTCAGAGTCTGGGCGAAGACCCGTCCCGGGTTGGGTCGGTGCCTGGGCCCGCCCCTCGCGGCCTCCCACCCTACTTCCTTTCCAGTAGGCGGCGCCCAGGCCCACGGCCTGGAGCAGTCATGCTGGGCGCGCGCGTCTGGCTGTGCCGCAGCCTCCTGCTGCCCCGCGCCGTGCCAGGCCTCGCCACGAGCCGCAGGTACAGGCGGGCGAGTGGGCTGCTGCGGCGGGCCTGCGCCTGCGGGTCCCCAGGGCCGGACATCCGAGCACGGGTCCTCAGTCCCTGCCCAGCTACTGCCTCATACCTGACCCCACCCGCCCCCCTAATCTGCTCCTGGCACTAGTGGGTAACGCTGTCCTGCCATTCTCTCCTCCTTTTCCTTCCCCTCTGGCTGCAGGGCTAGCTCCCTGGGACTCTGTTCTGACATCACCTCCAGTAAGCCTTCCTTGAACCCCAATGCTGAGCTAAAGGGTCCTTGTCAACAGCACCCTGTCGCAGTCTTAATTGCTGCAGGGACCTGTCATTAGTTGGGTCTGCCCCTCATCGCCACCCTCCTAGGCTGAGCACCCTGAGATCAGGGCCAGTTTCTGATAACCTGGGGGATTCTGGAGGTCTGGTACAGGACCTGACCCAAAAAAGTGCCCAGTGGGTCAGTGTTGAGTGAGGGTGTCCCCTCTGTTGATTTTCTTCTCATTGCCCCTCACCTGGTTCAGTCCAGACCCAACTCTTCTTCCAGCCACCAGCAGTGAGTGGCCTTCCTGCCCTGATCACGCACGCGGTCATGCCAGAGAGACACCTCGAGCGCCAACACCCTGGGGAGGGGGCCCAGCTGAGGGGAGAGAATGGAGCCTGAACCACCATTCTGCC